TGCCTTCGACATCGGTGCCTGGCCTGTCAGTATTTATTGCCTTGACACTAGACGACTCCTCCCCGTGCCCAGAGCAGAGCCCCGCAGCACGGCAGCCTGCTCCCGCGGCCGCACGGACGCGGCAGCCCCGGCCACGGGGCAGGCACGTTCCAGCGCCGCTGCCCCTTATTCGGATCCTCCCACACTGAGGTTGTACTAGAACTGGGACCAAGTACATGTGGTTTTCTCATAGCTACGTCTCTGCCTCTAACTCTTCCTTGCCCTGCCCCTAGAGAGATTTTTTTGTTAATTTGATTTGGTGCATATTGTCTGTAAATCCTAGACCCGGGTTAACAGGTTTGGAATCATCGTCTGCTTCTCCTTTTATGACAGTTAAATAAAAACTTTGAACTGACTGTCTGCTCTCCATTCCGTCCTCAGCAGGAGATGCCAGCGCGCCCGTGCAGCAGCCGATCTGTGCGAGCACCGGGGTGATGAGGAGAGCACCGGGAGCCTGTAGAAAGGGACTGGGGAGGCCTTGGCCGGTGGGAGAAGGACGCAAGGCCACAGCTGCAGCGCCCATTGCTGCTCCCAAGGGCTTGTGTGAGGAGCTGCTGACGCTGTTCACGCTGCTCTGCAAAAGGCAGTGGTGTGCAAGGGCCAGGAGGGCAGCAAGGAGAGAAATGATGAGTCTCTGAGAGAAGGAAGTTGGGGGCGAGGTGCTGCCTCAGAGCAGATCGCTTCTGAGCACCTTTAGGGTGCCTCCTCTGCACTAACTGCGATTACTCTGTGGTTGGGAACAACAAAAGAAGGCAACAGGAGGCAGAATGGAATTTAGGAGAGGTGATGTGCGATAAGAGCCCGCGGATGTTTACAGAACGTGCGGCACATTTGTTCTAAGGATAAGAAACTTAACTGTAGCTGTGGAAAACTCTTAACAGAATCTGTGGGGTTGGAGAAGCTGTAGAGAGGAGAGGGCTAAAGCCGCCTCCTGCCTAACACATCTGCAGCAGCGACTGCTCTGCAAGGGCCCCGTGAGCCCGGGCCGAGAGGGGGCCGGGGCGCGGAGAGCAACGCTCTGCTGCTCGGGGCCGGGAGAGCTGCGCTCGCCGGTGCCGCAGCTGAAGGAAACGCTGCGACCCGCAGAAACCACGAGAACGCGCAAGGCGAGAGGGAGGCCTCCTTAGCAGGGTGGGAGCTGCCTCCCCACGCAGGACAGCAGTTGGAGAAGGGTCATCGGTCCCGTTTAACCCCCTCCTCGGGGGCGCGTTGCTGCTTGGGTTGTGCTCCCTGTTCTGAACTGTGCTGGTAAGTCCCCGCGTCCCTCCTGGGGTGCAGGGATGTGAAAGGGTGCGAGAGCAGAGACCGAGCAGGAATTGCCCTCGGTCTTGTCAGTTAGTGGCGAGCCCCAAGTGCTGATAAAAGGAACAAAAGCCCGCCTTGTTCTGGCCCCTAACAGTCGCTCTGCGGGCAGCTCGCGTCAGGGTTAGATCCTGTCTGATGCAACGCTCAACTCTTTGGCAAGTGTTTCCAAATTCTGGACGTTGGTATTTCTGTTAGATCATTCCTGTGATGGTGGCAGTGACAAGGTGCAATGCCTGGGAGGGGCATGGAGTACAACTTTGACCTGCTCTTAGCTCTTCTCTAGGTTCTGCTTGTGGCACCTGAATGGGGGGTTACTCGGTGTGACACAGGACGGTTCTTTCCATGTTCACCATCTCTTTCTGCTTCAGTTTATGAAGGAAGTTGAGGCAATGCTGATCTCAAGGCAGCCAGGAGGCTGCAGTGCTCCTGAGCGGCTCCCAGGCCTCAGCAGGCTGAAGGAGGCTGCGTTCAGCAGCGGGGAGGCACCAGCGCTGCCTCCCTGCCCGGGCTGCCACGGCAACACACCCCC